GCCAAATTTGGGAAGACAGAAGTAAAACACTCAGTTTGCGTCGATCCTCCCGAATTCAAGAATTAAAAACATTGGCTTCAAAACAGAAGGGCGGTTCACGGAACCGATTCTTGAGTTTTAATTGCAATACGCCAGGCTGATTGCCTCAGTTCAGGCATCGTTTCAGAATTGATGAAGACCTTGGCAGTTCTCCCGGTTCCCTGGCCATAGTTTGGGAAGACTTCTAGGATATCAAGTACGGTTAGTGGATTGCTAACAGATTCCAGTATTTCCAGTGAGGCTTTTGGTTTTGCTTTGTCCATTTAAATTCATGTTTGCTGATTTTGCTGTGGCTTTTGACTTGCATTTTCCTTTATTTTGTAACCATTTTTCTTCAATAAAAAGGATTGTTTTTCACAGCCAAGTGTGGTGGATAGTTATCTTAGGGCATCGTTCCCTGCTCTGGATTGCAACACTCACTACCTCTGAGGATGCTTGCCATAGATGCAGGCGAAACGTCAGGAGAAATGCCTCTAGAACATGGCCCTATAGCCCGAAAAAACCCACAAGAACCTAAATGCATATCTTATTGCAATTCTGGGTTTTCTTTTGTGTACTTATATTTATGAGTTGTAACTAACATGGGTTGGCTTAGATGGCTTTGCAGTGTTGCTGAGTCTTAATAGCATTAGCTTACATCAGTGATGGGCAACCTTTTGAGCTTGGTGTGTCAAAATTTGCCAAAAACCTGAGCATAACTTGGGTGGGGTGTCAACTTCGAAAAAGTTGACACCCCATAATTTTGCAATATTTATAGTTTAAATAAGAAAAATGTATATTCCATGCTGAGTTATGGAGTGAACAATGCTCAAATGTGCAGATGTTAAATTTGTAGAGCCTTTTACAAATTTAAGGATGGAATTAGATTGGCTCTTAAAAGGTGTACTTCTCTGTATGCGTCCGCATGTGCCCGTGTGTCATCAAAAAATAGCCAGGCGTGTCAGTGCTGATACACGTGTCATAGGTTGACCATCATGGGCTTACATGATACAGAAAAAGCCAGCAAGCCCTACCAAACCTTTCTTCCGTAGGATTTTTTGTATACTTTTGTTCAGCACTTGCATGTTGTCCACTGAATGGTTATTGTTCCATATCTTACATGTTTCATCCTGGCTATCATCCTGCATCCTATGTCTGTGCATGTGGTTTGCTCAGCGTTCAGTGCATGTTTCTTACCAAGTGTTGCTGAAAGCTTTCGTGGCTGGAATCACTGGGTTGCTGTGCTTTTTCCGGGCTGTATGGCCAGAATTTCCCTGAATATGTTTATTTATTTATTTGTTCAACTTGTATACCGCTACTCCCAATTTGGCTCGGAGCGGTTTACAGAAACAGATTTAAAACAATACAATTAGCTTTAAAAACATACAAACAATCTACAAACCCACCAAGAAAATCCAACCAATGCTACATTCAGCAAAGGACAAGAGGGATCCTCTCACCTCTGCAGGAGTCTACCGTATTCCATGCAGCTGTGGACAAGTCTCCATAGGGACCACTAAACGCAGCATTGCCCAGACACGCATCAAGGAACATGAAAGGCACTGCAGACTACTTCAGCCAGAGAAATCAGCCATAGCAGAGCACCTGATGAACCAGCCTGGACACAGCATATTATTTGAGAAGACAGAAGTGCTGGACCACTCTCACAACCACCATGTCAGGCTACACAGAGAAGCCATTGAAATCCACAAGCACGGGGACAATTTCAACAGAAAGGAAGAGACCATGAAAATGAACAAAATCTGGCTACCAGTATTAAAGAACTCTAAAATTACAACAGCAAAACAACAGAGAGGAAACAACCAGGCACATCTTAACACCTCCCAGCAAGAGATTTTCCCAGGCTCAGGCAGGCCTTCAAATGCTAATGAAGGTGATCAGCTGAAACATTCACACCTAGCTGCAGCAGGGAAGAGCTCCTTGTCCCACCCCAGCCATTCCACAGATATATAAACCCATTGTCCTAATTCCAACAGACCTCACTACCTCTGAGGATGCTTGCCATAGATGTAGGCGAAACGTCAGGAGAAATGCCTCTAGAACATGGCTCTATAGCCCGAAAAAACCCACAAGAACCTAGTGATTCCAGCCATGAAAGCCTTCGACAATACAGCTTTAAAATGACCATAACAATAACAATAGGCATAGCCCGGATTGTTCACCCATCAAAAGCTTGCCGGAAAAGAAAAGTTTTACAGGCTTTCCGAAAAGCAGGTAGGTCTCGGATGGTTCGAGTTTTAACCAGCAAGGCATTCCATAAATAAGGGGCCACGATCGAGAAGGCTCTATGCCTAGTAGATGACAAATGATAGGTCCGGATTTTAGGGACTGCAAGCAGATTTTGGTCTTCAGACCGGAGTAATCTCTGGGGTTGGTAGAGGGATAAGCGGGCCCTCAGGTATGCCGGCCCCAGATCATATAAGGCCTTGAAGGTTAGTACCAGCACCTTGAAAGTGATCCAGTACTCAATCGGTAGCCAGTGCAGCTGTTAGAGAATTGGGGTAATATGACACCTCGCTGGCACCCCGGCGAGAAGACGAGCCGCCGCATTTTGCACCAGCTTCAGTTTCCGGATCACTGACAAAGGAAGGCCAATGTAGAGGGCGTTACAGTAGTCAAGCCTCAAGATGACCGTCGCCTGGATCACCGTAGCCAGGTCGTTCTAGATAGCAAGGGAGCCAGTCGCCTAGCCTGACATAGATGGAAAAACGCACGGCTCTGTTTCAGCATTGCCTCACCACAAGCTATTTCCACTGGGACAATGAATTCTATGAACAGAAAGATGGAGTAGACATGGGGAGCTCTCTTAGCCTGGTCATAGCAAATTTCTACATGGAACACTTTGAAAAACAAGCCCTGGAAACAACAACAAAAAAAGCCCACTACATGGTTCATATATGTGGAGACTAGGATGCGGAACAATGGCTTCAAACTACAAGAAAGGAGATTCCATCTGAACATGAGGAAGAACTTCCTGATTGTGAGAGCTGTTTAGCAGTGGAACTCACTGCCCCGGAGTGTGGTGGAGGCTCCTTCTTTGGAAGCTTTTAAACAGAGGCTAGATGGCCATCTGTCGGGGGTGCTTTGAATGCAATATTCCTGCTTCTTGGCAGAATGGGGTTGGACTGGATGGCCCAGGAGGTCTCTTCCAACTCTACAATTCTATGATTCTATGACACCTTCACCATTTGGAGCCATGGAGAAGAAAAACTAGACAAGTTTCTGGGTCACATGAACAGCATCCACCCAAACATCCAATTCATCATGGGAAAAGAAAATGAAGGAAAACTGCCATTTCTAGATGCTTAGTCATCCACAAGCCAAATCAACAATTGAGCCTCACAGTTAACGGAGAACCTACGCACCGTGATAGATACCTACATAAAAATTCCAACAATCACCCAAGTCAAAAAAGAAGCACAATTAAAGCCCTGGCAGAACATGGAAAAAGAATCTGCAAAGCCCACCTTCTCCAAGATGAACTGAACCACCTGAACTGGGCTCTCCAGGCCAATGGAGACTCCACCTCAGACATCAGAAGAGCTGCAAGACAACCGAGAACAAGCCACGAGAGTCAAGATCCACCCAGAGGGAAAGTGTTCCTGCCATACATCAAGGGAACCACTGACTGCATAGGGAAGCTGATGAGGTAACACAACCTACAAACTATCTACAGACCCACTAAGAAAATCCAATAAATACTACGTTCAGCAAAGGACAAGAGGGATCCTCTCTCTTCTGCAGGAGTCTACCAAATACCATGCAGCTGTGGACAAGAAGTCTACAGAGGGACCACCAAACGCAGCAGCATTGCCCAGACACGAATCAAGGAACATGAAAGGGACTGCAAACTAACTCATCCAGAGAAGTCAGCCATAGCAGAACACCTGATGAACCAACCTGGACACAGCATGTTATTTCAGGACACAGAAATGCTGGACCACCCTCACAACCACCATGTCAGACTACACAGAGAAGCCACTGAAATCCACAAGCATGTGGACAATTTCAACAGAAAGGAGGAAACCATGAAAATGAACAAAATCTGGCTACCAGTATTAAAAAACTCTAAAATTACAACAGCACAACAACAGAGAGGAAACAAACAAGGACATCTAATCACCTCTCAACAAAAGATTTTCCCAGGCTCAGCCAGGCCTTCAAATGCTAATGAAGGTGGTCAGTTGAAACATTCACACCTAGCTCCAGCAGAGAAGAGCTCTTTGCCCCACCCCAGCCATTCCACAGATATATAAACCCATTGTCCTAATTCCAACAGACCTCACTACCTCTGAGGATGCTTGCCATAGATGCAGGTGAAACGTCAGGAGAGAATGCCTCTAGACCATGGCCATACAGCCTGCAAAAACCTACAACAACCCAGTCTATTTTTCACTCCCTCTGTTCTCAAACCTAATCTGGCTTCTCAGGAAAACTCCCAATCGACTCAAGGCCATTTCACAAGGGAACTGAAACCTTTACCTTCTGTTGCTTGGGAACGAGCACAGGAATCCTTGGCCCGCAATTCTCTAGCAGACTTTTCAGGCGAAACGTCAGCAAAGAATGCCTCTAGTCTATGGCCATATAGCCCGAAAAAACCTACAACAACCCAGACTCCTCAAACTCTGAGGATGCCTGCCATAGATGTGGGCGAAACATCAGGAGAGAATGCTTCTGGATTGTGGTCATACAGCCCAGAAAACTCACAGCAACCCAGTTTCTTATCAAGTGCTTTTGTAACTTTTCTTTCTTTAGACCAAAGACCCATGATTGACCAGACAGGGACTCATACTTGGCATAGAACAGAGTCTTTATGCTTGCCGTCACTTTCTCCGTTATCACTCATATATTTACTTATCGAAATGGTAACGCTCTGCCCAATACTTGATGTCCAAGGTGGAGATGGGAAGAGAGGGGCTTGGCTGCATGCAATATCTTCTGTTTTGTGCCATTTCCTGCAGCTGCTTCACTCCAACTCCAACGTGAAGTTTAGTCTGCCGCCGCCACCACTGCCGTCGCCGCATCCTCGGGACCTTCAGCCGCTGGGTTGCGCGGCCGTCTCCTGGGAGCAGTACCAGCAACCGCAGCAGCAGTTCCTGCAGGCTGAGAGGAATTGCCACCGCTTGCAGGAGGAGCTGGAGAGCCGCCCCCCAGAAACAAACATGCCCCAGGTACGTCCCCTCTGCACGCAGTCCCGGTTCCAACTTGGTCTCTCCCTCCAGGTGCTTTGGACTCCCAACTCCCATAATTCCTAACAACCGGTAGGCTGTTAGGAATTATGGGAGTTGGAGTCCAAAACACCTGGAGGGCTGAAGTTTCCCCATGCCTTGTCTACGATGTAGATGACTCTCCAACCACCAGTAGTTGCCTCTTCATCCCTCCGTTCCTCGTAGTGATCCTTTCTCTGTTTATGCCAGTTTCAATCCTCCATTCCTCCGTAGTTTCCATGCTTCGTCTCATCAGTTGTCCGCAATGTTGTTCATGCGTTCCTAATTCTGTAACCGTACGTCATCATGATAATACAATAATGCATTACTAATTGGACTGCATTGTTTATTAGCTCTCCTGCAACTAAAGTTACCAAACTGAAAGACTCCGTAGCCAGCAAAGCATATTGCATGGCCTTAATCTGAAGCCCGGTTGGCACCAACTCTGGTTTTATATTGTTTGGTCGTTAACCGATCCATGTTCACCATGCTTAGACCTCCAGGTCCTAAACGAAGATTTCTGGCGTTGTCCGGTGTCCTTGGGAGAGCTGTCCACTTACTTTCTCCCTTCTCCAGCTCTGAGAAGGCTTCCCCTATGCACCTTCTCCTTCTCTCCTTCTCCTTTTCTTTCCTTCTTCCCCTGCTTTCCCTTATACACTTTCCTACAGTTTCCTATCTCTTCTTTCCTTCTTTCCTTCCTTCCTTCGTCTTCCCTTTTTGCTCGTTCTTTCTTTCCTTCCTCCCATACCTTCTCCTTCCTTCCTTCTTTCTTTCTTTCTTTCTTTCTTTCTTCTTTCTTTGTTTTCTCTTCTTTTTATCTTTCCTACAGTTTCCTATCTCTTCTTTCCTTCCTTCCTTCCTTCCTTCCTTCCTTCCTTCCTCCTTCCTTCTTCCTTCGCTTCCTTTTCTTTCCTTCCTCCTACCTTTCTTTCCTTCCTTCTTATTCCTTCTTCCTTCCTTCTTCCTTTCTTTCTCTTCTTTTTTCCTTCTTTCTTTCTTTCTTTTCTCTTCCTTTCCTTCCTTCCTTCCTTCCTTCCTTCCTTCCTTCCTCTCTTCCCTTTTTGCTCTTTCTTTCCTTCCTCCCATACCTTTTTCCTCCTTCCTTCCTTCCTTCCTTCCTTCCTTCCTTCCTTCTCTTCCTTCTTTCTTTCTTTTTTCTCTTCTTTTTTCTCTTCTACAGTTTCCTATCTCTTCTTTCCTTCCTTCCTTCCTCTTCCCTTTTTGCTTTTCTTTCCTTCCTCCCATACCTTTTCTTCCTTCTCCTTCCTTCCTTCTTCCTTTCCTTTCCTTCTTCCTTCCTTCCTCCTTCTCTTTCTTTCTTTCTTTGTTTCTTTCTTTCTTTTTTTCTTTCTTCTTTCTTTCTCTTTTTTCTTTCTTTCTTTTTTCTTTCCTTTCTCTTTCTTTTCTTCTTTTTCTCTCTCTCCTTTCTCCTCCCTTTTTACTTCTTTCCTTCTTCCCCATACCTTTTCCCTTCCTTTCTCTTTCTTCTTTTCTCTTCATTTTCTTTCTTTTTTTCTTCCTTCCTTTCCTTCTTCTTCTTCTTTTCTTCCTTTCCTTCCTTCTTTTCTTTCCTTCTCTTCTTTCTTTCTCCTTTTCTCTTTCCTCTTTCTTTCCTTTCTTTCTCTGTCTTCTTTTCTCTTTATTTTCTTTCTTTTTTCCTTCCTATCTTCCTTCCTTCCTTCTTTCTTTGCTTTTCTATCTTTCTCTCCTTCTTTCTCTTTATTTTCTTTTTATCTCTCCTCTCCCTTTCTCTTCCCTTTTTTCTCTTTCTTTCCTTCCTTTCTCTTTCTTCTTTCCTCTTTGTTCTCTTGCTTTTTCCTTCCTTTTTTCTTTCTTTGCTTTTCTATCTTTCTTTTCTTTCTCTTTCTTTATTTTCTTTTTTATCTCTCCCTTTCTTTCTCTTCTTTTTTTCTCTTTCTTTCCTTCTTTTCTTCTTTTCTCTTTATTTTTTTTCTTTTTTCCTTCCTTCCTTCCTTCCTTCCTTCTTTCTTTGCTTTTTATCTTTCTCTCCCTTTTTCTCTACTTTTTCTTTATTTTCTTTTTATCTCTCCTCTCCCTTCATTTCTCTTCCCTTTTTTCTCTTTCTTTCCTTCCTTTCTCTTTCGTCTTTTCTCCTTATTTTCTTCCTTCCTTCCTCCCTTCCTTCCTTCTTTGCTTTTCTATCTTTCTTTTCTTTCTCTTTTTTTACCTCTCCTCTCCCTTCCTTTCTCTTCCCTTTTTTCTCTTTCTTTCCTTCCTTTCTCTTTCGTCTTTTCTCCTTATTCTCTTCCTTCCTTCCTCCCTTCCTTCCTTCTCTGCTTTTCTATCTTTCTTTTCTTTCTCTTTTTTTACCTCTCCTCTCCCTTCCTTTCTCTTTCCTTTTTCTCTTTCTTTCCCTCCTTTCTCTTTCTTCTTTTCTCTTCACCTCCCTCCCTCCCTCCTTTCCTCTCCTTCCCTTCCCTTCCTCCTCCCCTTTATTTATCTTCGTGTGAGTTGCCTGAACTCTTGGAATTAAAAGATATCAAAAGATATTGCAGCTTATTCATGCTTATGGGACATAGATTATACCTTTTACCTGGTTTGTAATCTGTTGTTCGGGCTTGGCCTCATGTAAGCCGCCCCGAGTCCCCGTTGGGGGAAATGTTGGCGGGGTATAAATAATGATGATGATGATGATGATTATTATTATTGTATTGTCGAAGGCTTTCATGGCTGGAATCACTGGGTTGTTGTAGGTTTTTTCGGGCTATATGGCCATGGTCTAGAGGCATTCTTTCCTGACGTTTCGCCTGCATCTATGCCAAGCATCCTCAGAGGTAGTGAGCTACCTTTGAGGATGCTTGCCATAGATGCAGGCAAAACGTCAGGAGAGAATGCCCCTAGACCATGGCCATATAGCCCGAAAAAACCTACAACAACCCTATTATTATTATTATTATTATTATTATTATTATTATTGGTCCCCTACTATTTATTTATTTATTTACCGCTCTTCTCAGCCATCAGGCGACTCAGAGCGGTTAACAACCAGTATCAGCAACACAGTACAAAATCATTAGTCATTTAAATTGACTAGTCCCCTACGAACCATCAAGATTACTAAGATCATCTGGAGAGGCCCTGCTCTCAGTCCCACCAGCCTCGCAAGCGCGGCTGGTGGGGACGAGGGACAGGGCCTTCTCGGTGGTGGCCCCACGACTCTGGAACTCTCTCCCTCTGGAGGCCAGAACCGCCCCATCCATCCTAACATTTAGGAAACGGGTGAAGACGTGGCTGTGGAGTCAGGCCTTCGAGGAATGAGACAACACCATAGGACTCTGGATGGAAGTGGATATAGACCCATCTTATTAGGACGACTGACCACTGTAGTTTTATATTTAGTGTTTTTAAAGTTGTTTTGTAATTTGTGATATATGATATTTTAATGAATGTATATGTTTTTATGGCTGTAAACCGGGCTGAGTCCCTCAACGAGGTTGAGAAGCTCGGCATACAAAACTGTGAAATAAATAAATAATAAATAATAAATTAAAACAGTAGTATCAATTAATTAACATCAAAAACATCCATGCAACAATACAGCAAAACAACAATCCATCCCGTCTCATCAATAGAATCAGCATCCGATCTCGTTGTCCATTAATCCATATTCCAGTAAACAATCAATTGCACTGTTTAGTTAAAAGCCTGTTCGAAGAGCCAGGTCTTCACTCTCTTCCGGAATGCCAATAAGGAGCATGCCTAATGTCTGTAGGAAGGGCGTTCCACAGCCGGGGGGCCACCACTGAGAAGGCCCTGTCTCTCGTTCCCGCCAGACGTGCTTGTGAGGCCGGCGGGACCGAGAGCAGGGCCTCCCCAGACGATCTTAACGTCCTAACTGGTTCATAGGAGGAGATGCGTTCGGACAGATAGGTCCTAAATGCCTCTGTGCCAAGATGTTCATTTTATGGTCTGCTAAGACTTCAAAATCCCTTTGACAAGGAATGTTTTCAAGCCATTGCATAATTGTGCTTGTTTTTGGTTGAGCAGCCAACGCTAACCTTTAAAGCCAAAACGTCCATGTTTTGCACGGCTTCCTTTCCTTTTTAACCACCTGTGTGGCTGCCGTTGCTGCCACGGCTGCCTTGTTTGCATTGCTGCCAAGCGCGTGTGCCGTGCTCTTCTTCTACTTGGTTGTGTTGACTTCTCTCCCAGAGACTTGTGGGTGAAGTGTGTCCTCCTTGCCTTTCTCTTCCCAGGCTTCTCTTCCGGAGCAACAGCGGTCCTTGCATGCCGATTCCTACCGCCGGATTGGCCACCTCTGACACCTCATTCCTTACTCACCCAAACTGGCATAAGCTGAGAAACCCAGGGATCAAATCGCTTTATCTTGTTGTCATTGTCGTCATTGTTGCTTAATTTAAAAAAGAGAGACCCACTTTATTTTATTTTTAAGCCTCTCCTCCGGTGTTTTTAAGCCTCTCCTCCCTCCCGCTTATTTATTTGTGTCGGAACTTCTATTTGTGTACGTATGTGTGTGTCCGTATCTTTGCACACGTGTGTGTCAGGAAAAGGAGAATCACACACTGCGCTCTCTCTCTATATTATTTTTTTTAATATTCGTCACGAGTCTTCTTCTTCTTCCTCCTTAATTGTTATTATTATTTTTTTAATTTATGTTATTTAAAAATGGCTTATCCGGAAGGGGAAAAGCATGGAAAGAGAAACACTATTTTTGTTTTCTTCTCAAATCGAAGTGGTATAATAACTATTTTTAAACGAAAATAAGGGTACTGATTTTTTTATATATTGGGATCCGAAGGAGAAAAAACGGGGCTATTTATACAAAGGTTTTGTACGAGATGTATTGTATACACATACTTTTTAAATGGGGAAAGAGCTACACTTTTGTTGGCTGAGACGGGGCAAATAAAATCCACGTTTTAAGTATCCCGGTGTGTGTCTCTTTGTCTTGCCAATGAGCAGGGCTTTGGTGCTAGGCTATA